AAATTTAGAAAGGCTGTTGCACCTGCACTGCACGTGTCATCGTGTCGGGTAGAAAATTTTTTGTTCTATGACTGATTTTACCTTCAACAATTAAGTGCGTATTTTTAATATGATAAATTTAAAAATTGTTGCACCTACACATGCAAATGTCATCGTATCAAGTACAGAATTTTTTATTTTATGATATTTTGAGCATCAATAATTAAGCATGTATTTGTTTAATATGATAAATTTAAAAAATAAGTGCAATTTTTTTAATATGATAAGTTTAAAAAGTTGTTGCACCTGCACATGCAAATGTCATCGTTTCAGGTAAAGAACTTTTTATTTTATGACATTTTGAGCTTCAATAATTAAGCATGCATTTTTTTAATATGATAAATTCAAAAAAGTTGTTGCACCTGCACATGCAAATGTTATCGTATCAAGTAAAGAACTTTTTATTTTATGATATTTTAAGCAACAATAATTAAGCATGTATTTTTTTAATATAATAAATTTAAAAAGTAAGTGTAATTTTTTTAATATGATAAATTTAAAAAGTTTTTGCACCTACACATGCAAATGTCATCATTCTAAGTAAAGAACTTTTTTTTTTATTTTATGACATTTTGAGCGTCAATAATTAAGCATGCATTTTTTAATATGGTAAATTTAAAAAGTTGTTGCATCTGCACATGCAAATGTCATCGTATCAAATAAAGAATTTTTTATTTTATGATATTTTGAGCATCAATAATTAAGCATGTATTTGTTTAATATGATAAATTTAAAAAGTTATTGCACCTACACATGCCAATGTCATCATTTCAAGTAGAGAGCTTTTTATTTTATGACATTTTGAGCGTCAATAATTAAGCATGCATTTTTTTAATATGATAAATTTAAAAAAGTTGTTGCACCTGCATATGCAAATGTCATCGTATCAAGTAAAGAACTTTTTATTTTATGATATTTTGAACATCAATAATTAAGCATGTATTTTTTTAATATGATAAATTTAAAAAGTTGTTGCACCTACACATGCAAATGTCATCATTTCAAATAAAGAACTTTTTATTTTGTGACATCTTGAGCGTCAATAATTAAGCATGCATTTTTTTAATATGATAAATTTAAAAAGTAAGTGCAATTTTTTTAATATGATAAATTTAAAAAGTTGTTGCACCTACATAGTTGCTCCACCCTGTACCTGCACGTGTCATCGTGTCGGATGAAAAAGCTTTTGTTTTATGGGTTTTTTTCCCGTCAATAATGCATTTTTAATATGATAAATTTTAAAGAGCTGCTGCACCTGCACGGGTCTTTAAAAAGCCACTGCACCTTCATATGTCATTGTATCGGATGAAAAACCATTTACTTTATCATTTTTTCACCATAAATAATTAAGTCTGCATTTTTAGGATTTGTTTAGTGTAGAGTATGAGAGTTTTCACTTTTTAAATATGGTTATTAGTTATAATTTTTAATTTTTATTTAAAAAATTTTAAAAATAATTTTAAAAATAAAAAAAATGAGTGAAAAATAAATAAATAAAGAGTTTATAAAAAGTTTAGATTTAAAATTTTTAAATTTTTTATTATTTAAAGTCTTTTTAAAATTAAAAAATTTTAAAAATATAATTTTTTTA